TCTTTAATTTTTTTTGTTTAACTTTTACCGAATGATACCCTCCTAATTGATTTTTTTCATCAATTTGATAGAGGTGCCCATTTGCCCTCTAGCATTCGACTTTTGTCGCCTTTGCCTATATTATTATTGCTCTCGATCGTCGTCATCGCCCCTTGCTCTCATCGTGAGCAACCCTGCTCATTGCCTCCTTCCCTCTCATTCTGTTGAGGAAAATCCTCTATTCTGTTAGGGAAATCCTTCCTCCTAATTTGTATAAATAGGAGAGGGAACATGTTAATAGATTCATGCTAAAGCTATTTCATTTCTACAATAAAGCTTCATTCAATATTTGTTCTTATCTTCTATTATTTCTATCATGGTATCAGAGCCTCACCTTTCTTCCTCGTTGTAGCTATTTTCCTTCCTCTTCTGCTACAATTTTCTCTTCTGCTACAGCTTCCTCCTCTGTTGCAGTTTCCTCCTTTGCTGTAGTAGCATCACTGCAACATTGCTGTAGATTTCTTCTCTATCGTCGCAGCCGTCGTAATCGCAACCACGACCAACGTCGTTGAGAAAAGCGAAGCTTCGCTCTTGCCTTCGGCCAGCGACCAACGTCGCTGAGAAAAGTGAAGCTTCACCCTTCGGCCAGCGACCAACGCCGTTGCATTCCTAAGAGGCTCCGTGGTCAATCCTCATCTTCCTCACCGCGGTAGTCTTCGCTGATCTGTCAACATTCGGCAGACTTAAGGAGAATGAAGGGAACACCTGTGCCATCACAGCAACAGCAATCACAGCAGCAGCAGTAGCGATCTACACTTATCTTACTCATGAAGCCTCTCGCTTGTAAACAATTCTTTGCATCGATACAAGATTGGTATCCTTGTCAGGAGCACCATCTTGCGGGGGCATGATAGAAGATAAGATTTTCCTAACTATATGAGGAAATTTCTCATTCTGTTGAGGAAAATCCTCTATTCTGTTAGAGAAATCCTTCCTCCTAATTTGTATAAATAGGAGAGGGAACATGTTAATAGATTCAAGCTAAAGCTATTTCATTTCTACAATAAAGCTTCATTCAATATTTGTTCTTATCTTCTATTATTTCTATCAGTCTTCGGCGCTCTCCCTTTCTTATCCTCATCTTTCATCATGAGAAAGGGGGAGCGATAGAGAGTGACATGAGGCTAATTATAGATTATGATCCATGTATGAAGTCGTGGACCTATTACCTCACCACAAGATCATGTCACCATCATCGTGGACCCACAACGGTGGCAATTGAAAGAGGAAGTCATTGAATTGGTATGGATTAGAAGCCAAAGGCGGACAACCCATTCAAGATTCAGGCGATGGCCAATGAAGCTCCCGTAATATCATTCAATCTGACATTCTGAGGTTCGATTGGTAGAGGACGTCAACTGGTACACCCTCTACTTGTCGCTTTATCTCGTTTTCCTCCTTCGGCATCACTTTGCATTTATGTCGACGAGAGGTGAGACATTTACGTCGGTGCCACATTGCACTACATTTGTGTCGAGGGACACAAAGCCTTTGCCTCACCTCCTGTCGACGTAGTTGTAGGATGATTCAGAGCGACTATCATCCTCATCCTCTTCCTCCTCTACCTTTGTCTCACCTATCGCCATCACTCTCCCTCCTCTTCCTCCTCCCGCCACAAGAAGATGTAGAAGTCCCTCAAGCTCCATCGTCGTCGCAATTGTCGCCCTCGCATCAGTCATTGATAAGGTTGACCATCAGGTCACTCTTGTCGACCACCACCACAACAGCCATCCACGACCCCTGATAGTGTCGTCGTCTGTCACCATTGTAACAGTCGATTAATAAGTTTTAATTAGGACATAACAAATAAAAAAATAATTAGAATATTAAAATTATATTTTTACCTATTATTTTTACCCATCGGTAAAGTTGATGACGCTAGGATAGATGAAGTTAGATGTTTTAATTTTATAACTGTAAATATTTTAATATAATTTTTTTAAATCTAAGAATCAGGATACTAAAAAGGTCTAACTATAGAGGGTAATATATAATTAGGCCAAGTGACACATGTAAGAAAGGGCAAAGTCAAAGGTCTTAGAGGAAACCTTCGACGTTGCCTACATCATTACACTATGACACTTTCTTCATCAAAATATAGATTTCTCATGAGAAAATTTCTCGCTATAACGCCATCAACTCAGCTATGACTCATCATCTGTAGGGATCCTTCCACTATAGTACCCATGTGATCGTTGCCCCATGGCAGGTCACCAACGAGAAGGGGCGAGATGCGAAAGGTAGTCTTATTGAGGAAGGGGGCAAACATGAGTGCTAAGTCGACTATGCCACCCTAGCGCATCGGTGTTAATAATACCAATATCGTCAAGGGCAGGGTGTGCGAGTAAAGATAATTGGAGGAGATGCGGAAGCAATGACCATTGTGGGAGCCGAGGCAACTATCTTGAGTGACTATCGCTCACGACAAAAGTAGAGGATAATGACAATTACCATAGGTAACATTAATTACAATGACAACACTAGGATACTAATCGAGTGCTAATGAAGTTTTTATCAAATTGATAAAAAAAGATATTTTTAAATAAAAATTAATTAGAAGAGTATCATTTGATATATCAAATCCCAACAGGTTAGCATTTCTTTAATTAAATGCCCTTAATTTTTCTGCTGTAGATGTAATTTAGATCACTCGATGAACATTTTTATTTCACTTGGAAGAACATGAGAGGCGCTTGCAAACGAAGTTGCTGTGTCCTCGGTACCTTCTCGTGTTGTCCTCATCACCCAAGACAAATTGGCAGTCAGATTCCTGGGGAGCCACGGCACCGCACGTTGCACTGCTAATATATTCACCGCTGTCCTCCCCGTCACCTCCTTCTTAGAAGAATACCAACGTTGCCGAAGCAGAGAGAGAGAGAGAGAGTCTGTGTGCATTATTTGACAGTAACGCCATTATTGCTAGTGATGCGAGTTCCAGAGGTAAAACTTGCATTAACTCTCGGCATATATAGAGATAAAGAGAGAGAGAGAGAGAGAGAGTTGACAGTAACGCCATTATTGCTAGTGATGCGAGTTCCAGAGGTAAAACTTGCATTAACTCTCGGCATGTATAGCCTTCACATCTCTCTCTCTCTCTCCAATAAATGTCTGGGCATGCGCGCTGCAGCAGCGTAATGAATAGACAATTTAATTGGTCCCGCTCGAGTTGGACGTCTCCTTCTACTGTTTAACGGCGCCTTCCTTCTCTCTCCCCTGCTGTAGCTCGTCCTGAATGTCCTCTCTCTCTCTCTCTCTCTCTCTCTCTCTCTCTCTCTCTCTCTCGACAAAGAGTCCCACAACCCCACACAATTATTGAAGCAACTTGTTCTTCTTCTGTCTTCTTGGAGGAGGGTGATGGCGTACTCGAATAACGTTGGCGACGGCAGGCTGGTTTCATCGACATCAAGCTACGAAACCAGTGGTGTGTTCGCTGACACAGTGATCTATCCGGTCTTAACAAGTTGACCATGTCTCTTGTATATTCCAGCCATGAAGATTCATCTAAGTGAGACATGGTTAACAGGTAGGAGTAGACCAGTGGAGCTTCGAGTTAAGGAAGGTCAAATACGGAGCATAAGCTTTTGTTTTCGATCTAAGCCGCTTTACTCGTCTCTTTTAATGACAATCATTCCATTGTCGTGTGATTGTCTCCCTTTCCAATGATTCACCACTCAAATTCTCTTTCTAAAAAGAAAATAAAACAATATAGGGTGGATTATTGAGAAAAGTATTTATTTTCATTTTTTTAATTTAAAGTATCATTATTTTTAGAATTTTATAGCAGTATTTTTTATCTAATATCTAAAAGACTGGTCGGGATGAATTACTACTCCATTTCGATTAATTCATTGCTCAAATTCTCTTTTTTTCAATCGTTTTCGACCCAAATTCTCGTCAAAGAGTAAAAAAATCTTCTTGACAATGCAGGATGAATTCATGAAAAAAAAATATTGTTTTTTACTTTTATCCCATTTTCATAGTAACATAATAGTTTTTTTTCTTCTAATACTTTGAATTACCCCAACCATTTATCTATTTTTTTATATATATATTTATGTACGGATCGGTCGATAAGATGAATCAGTCCAATGCAATATTTTTACACTGTGTTATTGTATTTTTAACATATAAAAATACTATATAATAATTTTTTATGGTATTACAAAAATAGTATAACATAATGTAAAAAAATACTATAATATAATAAAAATATTATAAAAATAGTATTTTAAAATTAGAATTGCTTTCCGAAAAAAAAATAATAATAATAAAGTTTATTCTGATAATTCGCCCTTGTCCATTTGTCGTTTTCAGGTTGAATGAGTGGGGCCGGTCACCGATGCGTCTGACCTGTCTCTGATCCCATTTAGATTCAACTGCCCTTTACCCCTTTACGTGGGGCCCTCCTCCTGCACCAGTTTCCTGGACTCCACGTACCTCCACCCCTCCCTCCCTCACGAGTTAGAAAGCGAGAAATAGAGCAGCACGGAGTTGGCAGAAGCCACCAGCATCGAACTGAGCATGGCCGCTCGAGTCCCGACGTCACTGAGATTGCACCTTTCACTGACTTACTCCACGACACCAAATATTATGATCTCACTCGACTCCGACCACTCTTGATTGCGGATATCAATCATATTCTTTGTTTCCAATGTTCTATCTTCCTTTTATTTCTCGACGGTTGAACACGTGATGGGCACGTTCTCTTCCGTATGTATTCGCCGAAAATTCGTCATTTCTTTCTAAATAATAAATAATATTATAAATTTATGATGCTCCACTCCTAACCCGAATCGCTTGTCAGATCAAGTGAATCTCAACCGTCCAGTCGTTAAATCCGACGCTCTTCAAACTGAAAGGTACCGTCATTATCTTTCAAATCGATGGGTATTATGGTAAAGTTGAACCTCGAGGGCCCTATATATTAGAGCTGGGTGCACATGGGAAACGCGATCCGCAGCTTCGAGAGGCGCATCAATGGCAGCCGATGCGATCGCAGTGGCGAAGGAGGCGCTGAAACCCTCGCGGTCCGACGAGGAGGACGAGCGGGCGTCCTTGTTTTCCTCCTACATCGGCCTCAGTTTCGCCCTCTTCCTGGGGCTCCTGCCTAAGTCCTCGGCGGCGTACGTGTCGTCGCTCCAGTCCCGCAACAGGATCCTGGCCATGAAGCTGTTCGAGGCGGAGGACCAGCTCCGGCAGCTGCGGTCGCGGCGGAAGGAGGACGCCAAGGCGAACGCCCGGGTGACGGAGATATACGCCGGGCACCGGACCCGGTGGCAGCAGGAGGAGAAGCGCCTCCTGCAACGGATCGACGCCGCGGACGAGGAGGCTGCGTCCCTGAGGGCGCGGATAAAGGAAACGGAGCGGGCGGAGGCGGAGCTGAGGGCCGCGGTGGAGCGGCTGGAGAAGGAGGTGGCTGAGAGGGACGAGATGCTCGATTTCATGGCCAGGAAGGTGGAGGGCGACGGGTTCTCGGAGAAGGGGGTGATGGGGGCCGATGGCGGGCTGGAGCCGATGGACCACGGCGAGCTTGACCGGGAGTTCTCGGGGGTTAGGGTTTCCGGCGCTTTGGAGCCGGTTCTGGAGGAGCGCTTCTTGGCCCGGAACGGGGAATTTGAGGGAATGGCGGATCTGTTCGCTCATCAAAACAACTATGTGAAGGAGTTCCTGATGCCGCCTGTGGATATGAAACTGTGGATGGATCGATCGGCTGGATGGCAGGTGAGGAGCTAACTCTTGATCTAGATGAACAACTCAGTGGTGTGTTCTTTAGTTTGAGTCAGTGATAACTCTACTTGCTTGAGCCTACATACATTTGAATCTATTGTGATGTCTTGATTAGAATTATCCACTGTCAAGAATCTCTTCTTCGTTAATAGTTCTTAGACGCTAGCATACCTTCTGGTAAAAGCCATGACTGGTAGAGAAGTGTCAGTGACTTCAGTAAAAGATACCTTTTTGCTGCAAATTATGGTATGAGATGTTATTTTAAGATATCGATATGGCAATCGTCTACTACTAGAAGCTATTGGAACTGTTGATGAATTGTCTGAGTGTGACAGAGCAGATCATCAGCATTTCCCTAGCACTCCAATTTTAGATTTGTATACTTGCAGTGAAGTACTTGAGTAGGTGAATATTCTTGATTGTCTTTTATTCTGATTAAATATGCTCCAAACTCATAGAATACCATAGGCATATGTAGTATAGATGTTTCATTTATGAGCAAGTCATTGCTAATCGTGTTTATGATCCTTTTTTGAAGATAAAACTCTTATGTAATTTATGTTTGTCACAGCGAGTTGGTTTCTTAATTGCGATCACCCTGTGATCATTTCCCTGACAGACTAGTTTAGTGATGTAGTGCTATAGCAGAGTTGTCTCACCATTTATCTGTCAATTAGCTTAATGAATTGTTTTTATCAATGTGTTCCTACTATTAGTATGTGTGTCTTCTTATGCTACGATGGCCATTTGGCATCACTAAAATGTTCGTGCGCTCTATAATTTTGTTCTCGCAGGACATGCAATATGACTCACTTGAATCAACACACAATATGAAGCATTTGGTGGCAAGGTAAAGCCAAACGAACTTGATTAAGCTCTTAATAGCAAAAGTATTATGTTTGAATCACAAGCTTAGAAGTTGATTGCAGGAGGGAGTCCCCATGGAAGGTTGATGGTGAATCATCAGGTGTTTCTTCCAAGCTTAAATTGCTGGAGCAGGAATTGGTTAACCTTGAAAAACTAGGAAAAGAAGATCCGTCCAAGATCCTGTCATTAATGAGGAAGCAATCCAAGAGATACCAATCTCTTGCTGGCAAAATCGATGATCTATGCAGGAAAATGGTAAGTTAAATTTGCTGATATTTTTACCGATAGTTTCTTATTCTTAGTTTGTTGGTCTGCTTACTAGTTTTGCTACTAATTTATCATGATATGCTTAATCAAAGGATTGCAAGTAATAGATATATCAATATGTCAGTATTCTTACCCACCATTGTTTCGAGGACTAGTTCGTTGTTTTTGTGAGATTTGCTTTATATGTGAATCGGCTCAAGTAAATGTTGAAATATTTTTTAGAAAGCTAAGAAGTTGTTTTTTTGCGATAATGCTGTAGTTATCTCAGTAACATCACCGGGGAAGAATCCAAATGCGAGATCGTTAACAAAACCCACAAAGCCGAGGGTACATTGGCATCTCTGCTGGCAATTTGCCATTTTCATTAGTGGAGGTTTGTCAAACATAATTGCCAAAGACTATTAAATAGTTCAAAAAACACCTCCATGACAGCGATGTCAATTAAGATTTTGTGGGTTAAAAAGATGATGGATCAGTGGCTTGGTCGGACACTGTCATCCAATTATAGACTTCACTATATATTGTAAGAAATTTCACACAAATAGTACCATAGTTAGTGCATTATGTATATATATTCCAAGCTAAAAGTTCAATGGAATATTGGAATAAACAGTGCTCACGACTATATATATAGAAGGCAACAAATTTGAGGCTTTTGTTTATTTGTTCATTTTTCAGTCAGATATATCGATCATTTCTAAAAACAGCTCGAACATAATTCCTTGCTAACATCTTATGATACCATTTAGAAAATATCTGCAGAATTAAACTATTAACAGGGACAGGACACTAACAAAAATGCATTTCAAACTTTCAACAACTGTTCTAATCATTTGTAGAATAGATGTTCCCTCTATTAAGCTAATCTTCTTGATTGCCCATGAAGTATGGGTGTTCCTTTGTAGTCATTAGACTTTTGTTGCAGACATTGCAGAAAATGACTGTTTTATGCATTAATCTCTTTATGCAGCGACTAAACGACCCCTGTGATCCGACACTCAGTCCAGAGTTCAGGACACAGAGGCAGACCGAGTTCTTGCTCGAAGCCTTTCGCCTGCAACATACTGCTTCCGAGACAAGACAGAAGCTGAGCACGCTCCAAGCCGAGGCAACAAAGAGCTATCTGGGAGATGACCTAACAGTGAAAGACAAATTGAACACAAGAAGATCCTTGGATTCTATCCGGAACAACTTCAAAGAGATACAGAGGAACTTGGAGATCTGGCTAGCGAGAATCATGGGTGATTTGGAGGGCATCTTAGCAAGGGATGGTGCTTCACGTGTAAGAGATTACTATTCATCTCCATTCCCCTTCGGCCGATGACTATGAAATCAGGCATATTTCCAGCCAGTTCTTCTTCTAATCCCTCAATAATGTATAGTCAGTCGCACCATGATACTCACACCAAGCTTACCCTTTTCTATATGCGAATACATATTCGTTCTTGTTTCCTGCAACAATTACTTAAGGTCTTCATAGCAGAATTCCTCATGTCAGGCTGGTGTTTACCATAATTCCTCATCTAACGCTAAACATACATCCTTCATCTGCAGCCTTGACATAAATTTTAGGCGACCACTGATGTACGCCTCGGACAATGCTTAATATATATCTCAACACTCATCCTAAAACATTCACCAGCTAAGCATTTAAACTTCAGGAATATATGCTGGTAGTGAGAAAAGCCTCGTCAAGTATTCGTCATTGCAATTTAACTCTGACAAGGCAATTCAATTCCACCGGGCTCGTCGTAGAACCGCCACCAATGCCCGTCGTGGACAGTCTGTGTCATTCACGTGTAAAATATGTCAGCGTTCTTCATTTGGGTTCCGGTGCGGAGCATCCAACTCTTTTCATGCCACTGCTACAGTGCTCCGTATTGATGAGCTATGTCCCAACGCCTGCTTCCGATTACACTGCGACACAGCCTTGACAGCCAAATCATTGTTCCAATACGGTGTAGTTCACGTGCTCATGTCCGATCTCTACATCTGAACTTTCTGGCAGTGCATCAGCAAGCTGAATGGTTATCGTCGAACAGGAAAAGTTTCCAACAACAATGAAGAGACAAGGTGGCAGGAAATGGAGAACCCTGTAATCGTCTTTGGAATAAATCCATGCTCCGAATTGGTAGCCCAGAATGGCCGCTGGGCCCAACACCAGTATGCTCTCTGGCGCCGGGTGCGCTTACCGTAGGAAGATGGACACGAACGGAGGAAAAGTATGAAGTGTGGAGACATGGAAACCTGTCCTCTAAGAAAAGGGTCATCATATGCTCTATGCCACGATGACCAAAGGACTTTTAGGGGTGGGTGGGCAGAGTAAAAGCCAACTAAAGAAGCTGAAAGCGAAAAGTGGCGGTCAATTCAACCCCGCTCACCCTAACCGCCTTGTGTTCACCTTCTCATGACATTAACATATAGGCCCTCCTCAATATTTGATTTTTGATTCGTGCTCATAACGACGATGAGGGTATGGTTGGTGCGTGATAAATAGCAACCTCAAGTATATATAGGTTTTGGAGGATTGGGTTGGTTGGGTCGGTGGAGGGTGACGGCCTTCTGTCCGCGGTAGGGGACGGGGAGGGAAAGGTTATGCCCCGACGTAGAGAGGTAATCGATCCCTTCCTGTTTCCCCCTCAAGATGCATTCCTTCCTCCGATCGAGATTCGACCCTGATTTCCTTTGCTCCTTCGTTGCTTCTGTGGTTCGATCGGTTGGGATTCTAGGGTTACCGGTGTTGCCGACGCTCTGGGTTTGCATTCGATGGGCTGATGTTTAGTCGTATGCCTATTACGGTGGGATTAGGTCTTTATCGCTGACAGCATTGCGATCTTGGCGTGATTCTTATGTTTGTCGCTTGATTTGCTTGATTTAGTCGGTGGCATTTCGTGGGATTTTGGCGATGCTGGCACCCTGGGTTGGCATTCTCTGGAGAGACTTCTTGATTTGTTTGATTAGTGGTATTGGTTTTGTTGAATTTGGGTCCATGATGATGAGCTATCTTTACGTGGTTGTTGTATATCTGTAGTTTAGGATTTTCTTGGCTGTCAATTGTTGGAATTTCATTGTAGTCCTCAGAAACTTTGCTGATCCAACGGTTTTGATGCCTATATCTTGTTATTTGTGCCTTCTAAGTATGGATATATTGTTTTCTTTCTTTTCATATTTTATTATGAAATTACATATTGAGATATTGGATCAACTGTTGTTGGTTTGTCATACATTGATTTGATTTGGAGGTTGTAAAGGAAGAATTGCTTTTCTTTGATCTCTTTAACTGGATTCTGGAATATGGAAATACAATAAGTAACCCTAATTAGTTCTTTAAATAATGATTTTCCTAAAACAACCCGAGTAAAATGTGGTAATCCAGGTATTGATGATGCTATAATCATATGTAATACTTTGAGAAAGAGAACATCTGTAGCTATCCTGATAACGAAAAGAGGATGTAGTTCTGCTGATGTATGTGTCTCTTGAAGAAAAGTTAATTTATGCAATTGAAGAATTATGATGGTATATAATATCAGAGTGACTTGAGAGTTGTACCTGTCTTTACCTGATGCATGTGCTGTCCAAATGTGCAGTAACTGAAGTATGCTATGTTTTTAATTGTGTGCTTGTCCTTTTCATGGATAACATCTTGCATTAAACCAATATATGGTATTTCTTTTGCCTTTTCTTCCCCAGCCACTAAGTCGTGATTGTATCATTGTTCACAGTGCATCATATAGGGTTGGCCATGGAAGGTTAATGTTTCTTAGAGGGCCCTCAAGATCTCTGTTACTGGAACAGCTATGGTTGTACCTCCTATTGTTTGCTTCTACGTAATGCTTAATGGAATATTATGTTAAGTCACAGTCATAATTTTTTTGTGTGTATATTTGTCTAGCAAGAGCATTTAATTCTAACGTTTTAAGTCATTGTATCTGTTGGAGCAACACTATAATATAACAGTTTATGAAGCACATCCATTAACCTAGTTAAGTAATTTTTACTAATGATTGGTTCACAGATTTATTTTCTTATTTGTTGGAGATTTTTAGGAAATTGTGTTGATCTAGTGATCCATCATTTTGTTCCTGTTTGCTAGGCTCTGCACTCTCGTGATCCTGTGGGCTTAACATTTACACTTCATACATGGAGCAAATCCCTTGTCAGTCAGCCCTTTGCATCTGCCAACTCTTTTTATTTCAGGATGCTCTTGGTTGGCGGTTTCTTTCTCTTGGAGATTTCCTTGTCTCTTTTGTCAACTATACTTAGTGGCGAGCTCCTGTTCCATATCTGCGAAGGTCAGATTATGCAGCTTACTTTTGAAGTTGGTGTTGAATGAATGATGAACTTTTACAAGTAAACGAGTTATTTATGTTTATGACTATTATATTATTTTTTCAGTTCTAATTTGTGCTGATATAGGTATTCTGTTCCAGTGACCTGCATAACTTCTGTTTGAATTAAATCTGGGATCTTAAGTGATTGACTTTGAAGAAATAATCAGTGGGGTATGTTTTTGTTGGTCACTTATTTTGGGTATTGTCTTTTTTTTTCAAGATGGTAACATCAAATTTTGGCTTTGTTTCTTCTCCATAGGATTGATGTTTGCAGTTCCCCTTCATCCTTGCGAGTAGACATTTCACTTGCTTCCTCTAATTCAGAACTGGTGCATATTTGCTGTTTCTTTCACTTGGGTTTCAAATAAAGCAATGCATTTACTAGCGAGAGATTGATTCCAGACTTATATGAAGGAAGGCAGAAAATGCTTCTTTGAGCTTGAGTTGTTTTCACACTTTTGGGCAATCACATTTTTCATTTTATGTGACCAACATGAACTGCAGTAGGTCATCTGTGACTTTGTTCAAGGTAGAAAGTGGTTCTCAAGTGCTTTATATCGCAATTTGCTGAAAGACAAGGTTCCTGCAGATGGCCATCACTTTGACATGGTAACAGGACCTATTACCTTTCAGCATTGGATCTCTGCTGAAGCCTGTCTAAGTAAAGTAAATTACATAGAACTATTTTCTTAAAGCATAGTCATTTTGTTGGTTCATCATAGTTCTTGTATTAGAGATCTGTCAAATAAAGACTTGGAGATTATACTAGCTTCAGCAGCTGAAAACAATGGAAAAGTAAGTTGGGTCACATTTGATGCTGTTTTGATGCATGATGCAGTGTCATAAATAGATCTGTCGATTGTTGCAGGTACAAGCTAATTAAGGAAGTTGGTGATGGAACTTTTGGAACTGTTTGGCGTGCTATAAATAAGCAGAGTGGGGAAGTTGTATGTTATCTGCAATGTTATTGATGGGTTCTACCAACCACTGTTTGCCATGGATTTTATTTTTCTTTGACATCAAGTTTTTTTGGTGGTTTTGTAGGTTGCAATTAAGAAAATGAAGAGAAAATACTATTCATGGGAGGAATGTGTGAATCTTCGGGAAGTGAAGGTAATATATTTCGGTGGGGTTTTCTTTGATATTTTTCATTTTTGTGATAATGTATTGTTGAATATGGTTATTATGCTGTTTCTTTAGTCTCTGCGACGGATGAACCATCCTAACATTGTGAAGCTTAAGGAGGTCATAAGAGAGAATGATATGTTGTACTTAGTATTTGAGTACATGGTATGACAATGTGGTATATGCTTTTGTTCTTGCTGCATTAATATTTCATGATATTTGATTTTTTGTGAAATTTTCAGGAATGCAACCTTTACCAGATTATGAAAGACAAAAGCAAGGGTTTCTCAGAGTCTGAAATTCGTAATTGGTACTTTCAAATATTTCAAGCCCTTGCTTACATGCATCAGCGAGGCTATTTTCATCGTGACCTTAAGCCTGGTATCGTACCTCGTGTTTTGTGATTATATAGTTATTATCATGGGCATATAATTTGTCAAAGACCTTTGTGTTTTGTGATTATAGTTATTATCACGGGCATATAATTTGTCAAAAACCTTTGTGTTACTGATTGACCAATAAGATAAAGATCACATATATCTAAAGCAATCAGAAAATCTTTCAAATGATGGTGCTAGTCAGTTTTCTAGGTTTGCTTTCATGTTTACCTCTATAAGCAACCAACTGCCTATTACTACTACATTGGTTATAAGTGACGATGAAGCCACTATCACATTGTCTTATCAGTGGCATGCTGTATTCTGATATTAGATACTGTAGGAGCAATTTCGTGCACATATTGTGTGTCAAATTTAGGACTTTTAAATTCTTCCATACATATCTTCATATTCGGTTTGTGATTTATGCTTAAGCCATGTTTTGGTTTTGATTAATTAATTATTCAATATTTAACCCAAACCTTTGTTTTTATATGATTATTAATCAAATTTAGGTGGAAAGCCCATTAAATTAACAATTTTTAACTGGGTCCAGCCTGTACAGACTGGTCAAACCCATCTTGGTTGGCACGGGGGCATATCAACACATGGTACAC